ACTGTCTTCCACAATGGTTGAACTAATTTACACTCCCACCAACAGTGTAAAAGCATTCCTATTTCTCCACATCCTCTCCAGCATCTGTTGTTTCCTAACCTTTTAATGATCACTATTCTAACTGGCATGAGATGGAATCTCATTGTGGTTTTGATTTGCATTTCTCTAATGACCAGTTATGATGAGCTTTTCTTTCATGTTTGTTTGCCACATAAATATCTTCTTTTGAGAAGTGTCTGTTCATATCCTTTGTCCCCTTTTTGATGAGTTCTTTTTTTCTTGTAAATTTGTTTAAATTCCTTGTAGACTCTGGATATTAGACCTTTGTCAGATGGATAGATTGCAAAAATTTTCTCCCATTCTGTAGGCTCTGTTCACTCTGATGACAGTTTATTTTGCTGTGCAGAAGCACTTTAGTTTAATTGTTTAATACTTGTGTAACAATGTCCAGTTTTACCAAGCAGAATGATCTAGATAGGAGCTTTTATGCAAAACTCATTGTTCTTCACTTAGAGCTTGTTAGTCCAGAGTGAAATCAAATCCATCTTCAGTCGTTACATGGCTTTGTTAAACAGTTAAACTTGAGTTGGAGATGCTCTGCCATAGGGAGGAATTTTTGCTCCCCAGATGTGTTTGTATAATATAATGTATTTTTCCCCTTTCCCTTGTGGAAACTTTGTGGAAAGATTATTTCAGTGTTAACCCTGAATGATATTTTAGTAATCAAACAAGTGACTGTTACTCCTTTATTCATTAATTTATCAAGCACTTAATGAGTGTTTTCTGTGTGCCAGGCACAGCACTAGACTCTGGGGAGTCAAAGATGAATCACACTTAGTCTCTACCCACTGGGAATTCATTCTGGTGAGAGAAATTGTAAACAAATAATTATAATCCTATGGGATATTTTTAAAGTATGAAATGAGATAATATATGTGAAAAACTTTGTAAGCCTTACACATTTAAGATTCTTTTCTCCAGTGGATAGCATGATGCCTGACATATTTTAAATGCTCATTATACCCTTAAATGAACTGGTGAAGAGACAAGAGTTATGAGAGCATAATACTAGAGTGGAGATGGATTAGTTCTGCCTGGGTGGATAGGTGGGGTGTGGAGACTTCCAAGAATATCACTTTTGAACTGGACTTGGAAATATAACTTGTTTAAGAATTGAGAAAGGAGGTTCTACGGGGGCAGCTGTCAGTCGTTAAAGTGCCTGGCTTTATCTATAGGCTTTTACAGTATGCAAGATGCTTTTGTTCACAGTATCTCTTTTGATTATGACAGGTCCATGAGGTGAGTTCATACAACCAAGAGAAGCCTTGACCAGAACCTGGGTTCTAGGGTGTAAGAGACAGCATCTGGCCGGTTTATTCTTTACAGTTTCATGGATGTTATGATTGTTAATATTATTGTATTTCTATTATTACATTTGTGAAAGCATGGTTTTCTGAGTTACAAGTATGGAAAAGACAAATGTATACATGTAATGAAATGTATCGTTTTCTTTTTATTTCTCTAAAGAAGTTTAGCTTGTATTAATACATGAGGCATTTTTTCCAGAAGTTTCAGAAACAAGTTAGAAAATGCTTCCATAATATTTCATAGATTCTTTATGATTCTAGCAGTTTTTCAGGATTTTCAGTCCATTTAAACCATTTATCTAACGAACAGTAAGTAGTAACTCTGAGCTCTACATTCTCTTGTAAGCTTTCTTTTTCTGTTATAGTTGAGCAAATTTGTTGGCATTTTTATTTTTTACACCAAAATGTTTGGTTAAAATACTTTGGGGAGAAAAATACAAGAACTTTGTTCTCATTTATAGTTGACTTCCTATTTTGTATATGTTGTCTCCTGTATGTATTAAGACAGTGAAGTATGGGTGAAAGAATAGGTAAATAGATCAATGGAACAGAATAGGCACCCCAGAAATAGACCCATACAAATAGAGTCAGCTGATTTTGGCAGAGGAGCAAAGGCAATTTAATGGAGAAAAAATTGTCTTTTCAACAAATCGTGCTGGAACAACTAGACAACCACAGGTGGAATAATGAAAATAGACACTGACCTTACACCTTTCCCAATAATTAACTCAAAACAGATCATAGGCTTAAACGAAAAACACAAAACTAGAAAATTTCTAAGAGTTTGATAACATAGGGGAAAATCTAGGTGACCTTGGGTTTGGCAATGAGTTTTTAGATGCAACATGAAAACATCATCTAAAAAACAGAAAATGGACAAGATGGACTTCATTAAAGTGAAACATGTCTGCTGTGCCAGTGACACTGTTAAGAATGAAAAGACAGGTGGGTGCGGTGGCTCACGCCTGTAATCCCAACACTTTGGGAGGCCGAGGTGGGCAGATCACAAGGTCAGGAGTTCAAGACCAGCCTGGCCAACATGGTGAAACCCCGTCTCTACTAAAAATACATAAATTAGCTGGGCATGGTGGCCAGCAGCTGTAATTCCAGCTATGCAAGAGGTTGAGGCAGGAGAGATGTTTGAATCTGGGAGGTGGAGGTTTCAGTGAGCCAAGATTACACCACTGCACTCCAGCCTGGGCAACAGAGCAAGACTCCATCTCAAAACAAACAAACAAACAAACAAAAACTAAATATGGTTTTACCATACATTCTAGCAGTCATGCTCCTAGTGATTTTCTTAAATGAGTTGAAAACTTAGGTCAACCCAAATACCTGTACATTAACATTTTCCAGAAGCTTCATTCATAATTGCCGAAAGTTGGAAGCAATCAAGATGTCCTTAAATAAGTGAATGGATAAGCAAACGGTGGTACATCCATGCAATGGAATATTATTCAGCCATACAAAGAATAAGCTATTAAGCCCAGAAAAGACATGGGGGAACTTTAAATGCATAAAAGCAGCCAGTCTATAAAGCCTACAAATTGTATAATTTTAACTATATGACATTCTGGAAAAGACAAAACTATAGAGATAGAAAGAAGATCAGCAATTCTCAGAGGTTGAGGATGGGAAAGGGAGGAAAAATGAATAGGTGAAGCACAGGACACTTAGGGCAGTAAAACTCTTCTATATGATTCTGCAAGGATGGATCCATGACAAAACCCCCCCACCGTGCAATGCAAACAGTTAACTCTAAAGCATTCAATTATGTTAGCTGATGTTAACATAACTAAACTGGTGTTTAGCTAGTAATGTATCAGTACTGGGTGATCAGTTGTAACACATGTGCCACACTAAGGCAAGAGGTAATCACAGGTGGAGGAAAAGGAGTATACAGTGTGTATCTTCTACTGAATATTTCTATGTGTCTAAAACTGTTTTAAAAATAATTATTTTCAGTTTTAAAAAAGTAAAAAGTGATTTTCCAATATCTCACTGCTAATGGCTTAGCTTTTTTTTTTTAAATTCTTTCCTTGAACTGAGTAGGAATCTGTCAGATGCTTCACTTTCTGTCTCCCAGTAACTTGCTGTGATTATGAAAATGCGTGTGCTAAACAACCCATGAAAAAAGCAAATAAAGATATTCCTTCATCTACCCAGACTGAAAGGAAATATGCCACTGCATCAGTGTTAATGAAAGAGAGGTTACAGCTGGTTTCCACTTTCATCTTTGTTTTCCTGTATTTTCCAAAAGTTCTCTGTAAAATAAAAAGCTCTTAGCACTAAAACAGTATATATGTATTCCACTGCAGCTTAATTGTATTCAGTTAACATAATTGAAGAGATTAAATAAGAAATGTAGAAATAAGTAAGACCTAGATCTTAACTGTAAGTGAAAGACTGTCTCACCACAATGCTTGATGTAAATGGTCTGATTGGTTCGTGACAACCTCATCAATTATTGCAGCTTGCAAAGGGATTGATTTTTAACTTTTTACTTATTAATTATATACTTTCTTATTTGTTTTCTCATTTACTTGCTTTCTTATTTATTTGCTTACTATTTACTCACTTTCCTGTTGTTTTAAAGGAGGATTCTAATTAGATATTATCTAAGTGATTATGCCGAGTTCTTACATTTTGTTGGTTTAAATTGCTTTAAGATATATGTTTGAAATCACATGTTTACTCTTGAAATGTGTGCCACTTGCAGTGTGCGTGTTGGGGGAAATGAGTTATTTTTTAGCGGGAAATGAGTTATTTTCAAAAAGAGAATTATTTAGATATGACTTTAGTGATTCCTCAGCACAATAACTGGTGATGAAATGTAGCTTACTGTTTTCAGCTAGTTTAAACTGATCTTGAGACAAACAGAAATTTGTTTCTTAAATACAGGCTCTAGATGACTTTATAGAATACCTCAGGGCTATTATCAAGTACTTGCATATGAAGGATAATTCCACTTGATTATATATTTTATACCCCAAAGGAAAATAAGTTTAAATTTAATTTTAACCAGATGATGCCATCTGCATGGAGTCACTCTGTTTTTGTGTTCACACTGGCCAGGAAGCGTTTTAATGAATGGTGTTAGTTTATTTGGTCTTAGCCAAATGAGCAAGGACCTGAAGACCGGGCAATATGAGAAGATATTTAGGAATCACTGGCTTTTCTCTGTTGATGCCACAATGTAAACTAAGGATGACAGTGGGTAGGGAATGTGTGTGGAATTCCTGTGTGATTCACTGTAACTGTGGTGTGCTAAATGCATGGTTAAGCTGGTGTCAGCATCGTCTTCCTCTAAATCATAGATCCCTTCTGTCAGCAGGACTCCTGTGGACTCATGAATGTTGTATTTTGAAATCTGCTTTAGACGATATTTCAAGACTTTTCATAAAAGAAAGATGACTAATGTATAAGCGGACTTAAAGGGAAGAAAAACCCCTTCCTCTACAGGGTAGCATATTTGGGATTATCATTTTCATTTTCTTTAGGTTGGTTTCATTTTCAAGTGAATCCAGAAAACACTGTTTTCTTTGACAATATTGCTACAAAATTACCATAATATGAGGATACATATTATTATATATTGAGATTTGTCAATCGCAAATATATAAAATGACCAATTTCAGTGAGCATTTATCCTTTTAAGAAAACCTATTCTATGAAAATCCAATTTTGTGCAAAAAGTGGGAAATAAATGGAGGTATAAGTGTTTGCTTTACGAGACTTGATTTGATTCATGTAAATAGAAAATGGTTTTATTACATGTAAAATATGATTTAAATTGGTCAAAATGTCACTTTCAGAAAAGCACACCTTTTAAGCCAGCACTCATTACATAGAACAAGGATTCCATCTGTGTGCCACAAACAACTTCAAAGAATTTTCTTTATATGTAATGACATAGGAAGTTGTTCCTTAGCGTCCATCTCATCTCCAGTCCCTCAGGAACATTGTCTTTGAGTACAAATTGTAATGAGTTTATTTTCTAACTAAAGTATAGTAGTCAGGCTAGTTTATTAGCTAATTTAGTTCTGACCTCTATGGTTGAGAACAGATACAAGAGAAATGCTATTGTATCTTCAGATCTTATAGAAAGCAGATAGCGGAAATGATGAAGTGTACCTGGCTGGCTTTCTGAA